TGGCTAAACGCTGAGACCAGCCTTTTTTAAAGCAAAGTGTTTTTTTACCGATTGGCGGGCTATTTATATAGCAATTCATATTGGCACCGTATCCTTTCATGTTACTCATGTTACTTTCATGTTACATGTTACATGTTACAAGCTATATGATTTTTAATGAGTATTCGGGTTTTGCTAGTAACTTCAATTGGAAATCGCACTTAAACTAGGATAGTTGGTTATTCGAACATAGAAAGGAACATGAGAGGTATTTAGTTAAGATGCTTTCACAGAGAACCTTTGTAAAGACCTTTGTAAACCTTGTAACTTTGTAAACCTTTGTAACCTAGAAAACTATGAAAACCAACCATGCAGCCTGGGGTAGACTTCGCAACAAACAATTAGTATTTAACAATCGTCAAATGCTAGGCAACTGGTGACGCTCCAATTAAATCTCCAATTTAATATTTTATTTGTAAATATTTAAAAAATATTGTTGTATTCTTAGACACATAAAGCATAATTTAAGTTTTGTTAACTCGTTAGTAAACTACCAAGCCGTGTTGCAAATGAATATTCAATTTCTTTTGCAATAATTGTATTCGCTTAATATTCTTGGAATATGAGCTAAAGAAGGAACGTTCTTGGAAAATTAAAGAAGTGTTTAAATCCAGCAATATTAGATTTGTCTTACAAGCTCAGAATCAAAACGATTCTGCAATTGCCCGAGTAGTTGACTTGTAAATGGCTGAATTAAGCAGATGACTTTTAATCTTACGTTTTCAGTCAGAAAACATATTCCAAATGTTTTGTATTGCATGACAATACATCTTTTCATTATTCAATAACCAGTCGGAGAACCGCTCGTGTTCCAAAAATAAGTATGTGTACTCAATCGTCTTGCATGTTCTTCAAATTTGTCTTCTTGTGATTTTTTTTTTCTTTCCCAAAAACTAAATTTGCCTCTCAAAGGAAAGTTTTTTGACATTGAAGAGACAAAGGAGTATGACATCTACTTTTAGAGGTATGTCAAAAACAGATCTCTACAAACCTTCTCTTCCATTACATGTTCTTCATTCAGACAAAAAGTTGGATCAGCGTAGATTCTATAATGTATTTTTATTACACTCTGATTACTTTATTAACATACAGTAATATATACTAAACCTTTTACTTTAGCTTCAGTAATTCGGAATTTTTGACGGAATTGTTGTCGGAACTAGGACTTAGAAGATAAGTCAAACTGAATATTTTGATAATCCAATAAATTCAAGGTCGAAGTTTCAATATTTTATTTTCGGAGGGAGGGGAAATGTTTTCAGTTTCGGTTCATTATCCTAAGTATATTTGCTTCGATTCTTTATTTTTCCATAAAAGTGAAAGATTTACGCACGGTATACATATAATGCATAGCTTCAAATTAAAATTTAAGAATATACAGAGTGGTTTATAATTAAAGTTCCACATTGAAACGGTTATAAAAGGAAAACTACTGGATCAAATGTTATCAAACTTGGTAAATCGTGTAAAGGAGGTCATGGGAATTTATTTTCCCCGCGAAAAAAAGGAAGTTCGAAACCTCACCACCAGGGGCGAAAAATGGCGCTGTATGCAATATTGTTAAACGAAATATGGGTCGGAATCTAACTTAACCTTTTGTTACACGGGTTTAATATATTGTATACCCTTAAGAAACTTTGAAGTAAGCAAATTACCATTTAAAGGCATTAAATTCGATAAAAGTAGAGTGCGCCATCCGTGTAAGTGAGAAATTCGTCCGTGAAAACCACGAATTAGCGATTAGAAAATGTGAGATCGCAAATCACTCGCACAAGTGCGTACAATTCGGCCCTAAAACATGAAGATACTGATTCAAAACGCTTTTAATCGATTTGGGCCAAAGAAATCCCTCATGTTATTTATCTAGTTCCCTTGCATTCAATTGCATAGCAGTCATTCCACACCGTGTAGTGTTGAATGACAGCTAGTTTTATAACTGAACCATTTTTCTCTGAAGAGCAGTCGACAGCTAGACCTGGTGGTGAGTTTTTTTAACTCTTTTTTTTTTTTTCCCCCGCGGAAAATAAATTCCCATAACCTCCTTTACACGATTCCCAAGTGTGATAACATTTGGTCCTGTAGTTTTCCTTTTATGACCATTTCAAATTGGAACTTTAATTATAACCACCATTTAAATTAAGTTTGGCAGTTTGGTTCAAGTCCCAGTTTTAAAAATATATAAATATAATCTTTTATATTAATCCTCTTAAAAAGAATGTATTAAGAAGCTAATTTTTCTCTCGCATTATAGATTGTATAAAAAAGCATGATCTTTAATATGATTTAGATTGTTTCAGTCGATATAAGAATCGGGTCACTCGATGGTACAGAATAAACCCTGCTGGACTGTTTTATTTCTTTGTCATTTAGCAAAAATCTTTTAATTAAAATATTTATCCTTTGGACTTCGCTTTAAACTTTATTTATAGTTAAAACGACTAGAAAATGAAAAGCTGTCTTCAGCTGAAACGCAATTCATGTAATTTATATTTTAAAAAATTGACAAGAATGCGAAATTTATGGAAGTCTAGCAATCGAAAAATCTTAATTTTCTTATGTGAGTACTGAAAATAACTGTAGAAGGAATGAAGAAAATTAGGAAGAAAAGTAAGAAAAAATTTGCAGGGAAATTTGGCTGTCAGACATACCAAGATGTTTCAAAAAGTTGGACGCTTTTGAATATACTTTCAGGATACTTCAAAGAATTTAGGTGTTCAAAGAAAAAATACTTGGACGTGTACACCAGCAAATACCATCAATTGAGCTTGTGTTAACAGAAAAGACAAAAATGATATCATTGCAGATTAAAGTGAAGAGCGACTGGTTTTAGACTGTATGGTTGTATAAATTTAAATTACATTATAGAACATCATGTTGTATCATAAATGGAGAATCCCATGATTTTCTCAGTCGAATTACTTGAAGATTCAGGAGTTTATCCAGTGATGTATGTGGATGTCACCTAAAGATGTTTTTTTTTCTTCCTGATGAAACAGCGGCCAGTCGGTAAAGTCGCTGAACACTGGTAGTTCGGTCCGAGGTTCGAACCCCGCAAACGGGCTGGCTGCATGGGCGTTTTCGTGGTTTTCCCCATGTGTAACGTGTATGCAAGACAGTTTCCCTTAGAAAGTCCTCCACGAAGGCATCCCTCCCCTTAGGCAGATAGCCCTAGTGTGCTTTGTCATAATTAAATAAACCAAAACCTCTTCATGAAACCAGTCTTTCCTTTCATCTCATACATTCAAAATGTTTAGCCTCTAAAGACTGATAAAGGCTCTGACCAAATACTTCGTGAAGAACTTTCTAAGGGAAACCAGCTGGTATACACGGTACACATGACAAAATCCACGAAAACGCCCATACAACCAGCCCGTTTACTGGGATTTGAACCCCGGAGAACTACCAGTGTTCAGCGACTGTACCGCTCAGCCGTTTGTGGGCGTTTATGAAATGGAAGGCAATAACTTTATTTAAAATTGATTGTCCAGAAATATCAAGATGTTTCGAAACGTCGGGTGCTTTTTAATATACTTGCAGAATGCCTAAAGAAAAAGAGCAAGAATAAAGTAGAATGCCTGAGCTATTAGAAAGAAATAATAAAGTTTTGCGTAAAATTTAGTATTTGTATTTTTTCTAATTTAAAACTTATGATCTTATTTATTTGATTCTTGCGATTTCAAAAATAAAATACTTGACTAAAATATGTGTAACATTTTTAAGAAACCAAATGTAGGATGATAAAATTGTGTAAAGCAATGGGCACAATGATAAAACCGTTTAAAGCAGTGTATGCAAGTCATCTTCAAGTTAAAGTGTCGGTTATACATCTCTCTTATTAATATATATCTTTTCTGGACGGAACATTGAAAGGCGTGTTAACGTGCTTTACTATGGGTTTTATCTTTTTTTTTTTTTTTTTTTTTTTTTTTTTAATATATGCAGTTTTCAAATGCATCCGTAGTCCTGAGTTACAAAGTATTCTTCCGAAAGAAACCGCAATTCAAATAAATAAAATCAAATTCTGGAAGATTTATATTTAATAAACAATTTAAAATGCTCAGTTCGAAGGAATAAATAAGTAGAAGATTTTAAACCAATTATCTGAAGAGACAATGCAACACAAGCAATTAAAATAAAATATAAAAATTTAAAAAATTACCTAAAATAATAACTATGACAAAAAAAATATAAATTTATAAAGAAAACTATTTGAAAAAAAAATAAAAGCTGCACCTTTATGCAGTTCGAATAGGTGAATAGAAATTTTTAAAACAGTTATTCGAAAAAAACCATGCTACTTAAACAATTAAAATGAAATTCAAAAAAGAAAAAATTACTTAAACTAATAACGTTATAATTAAAAATATAATATAAAGAATATTATTTGGAAAAAAGGAACTATTGTGACTTTTTTTCCTCTCACCGTAAAGGAAACTAGGTTGCCATATATTAAGAAGTTCACCAAGTGAACTATTCTTGGCGCAAACTGAAAAGAAGTGCAAAGATAAATTTGTGAATTTCTCGGTAAATTTTGCTCCAAATTTTACAAAATTTCATATTTAGGTGTAATTTGAGCTGTAGAATGAAAATATGTAAAAAAATTGGTATGTTATTTCAGAAAAAGTCCGATTTTGTGTCGAAATACCTATGTTAGAATAGTGCTATATATAAATCTAATATATATCCTAAGTCGCGCTTTCGAGACATGAAGAACGCAATTTGAATTTTGTCAGTCGGCCCAGTAGAACGGGAGATTCTTTTAGGAATAGAAATCTACTTCAAATGCTTTGTCTCCATCTATTTCTCATCTATTCTCTACAATTTTCAAAATTTTAACTCATTAGCTGACGAATGTTGCATATTTTGCAAAATAAATTTATAAAAAGCAAAATTTAGATACTTGCCATAACTATAGTGTAAAACTTTTATTTTTATTCAATTAAGTATGTCTTATTTTTCAGGTAAATATTGACAACAAAAACACCTTGACTGCCATGAGAGAAGGACAAGTTATGATGACAGTTGAAAAAATAAATCCAAATCTAGAGCATCATGTTGCAGCAAAGTATTATGCAAATATGTCAGCACCTGTAGTGTATAAAAGATTTTATCATGTCATACCTTTTGAACAAACTAAAAAATTTAAATTGGTCAACTTAGTGTAAATTTCATTAAAATGTATCCAAATGATTAATAAAATGGCTAGCCCATGCTTTTAAGAAGTTTGCTTTTTATATTACATACACCTAAATTAAGTGCTTTAGTAACTGTGTCTTAAAACTAAAATAAATAATAATTCGTATATGCAATAAATATATTTAAAAATATCAGTTGCATGCAATGTCATTTGGGTAATACACAGTCTAATGTGAAAATGAATGTTTTCATTAAATGCATTTTATAAGGAAAACTTTTCATTTTAAATTCGATACATACAATGTAAGGTATTGGTTTATTCCCAAATAATGTAGAAATTAGGGGAAGTAAAATTTTATTATTCAAGGATTTGAAACATGTTTATTTTATTAAATAAATAGTCATTAGTTATTTTGGTTGCTTATCAGTGCATGTGCTCTGAACATTAGTTTTTGATAGTGTTTACAATTTATGGCAATCAGTATGAGTTTTGGGAAAGAAGAAACAAAATATTACTTAAAGGAGAGAAACTAAAAATATGTAATGTAATAAAAAGGAAAAATATTTTTTCTATATTTTTCATAAACTTATATTTTATGATAACTGTATAACACGAAATATTGCATTAAAATTCAATTCTGTGATATTCTGGTACCTGTTGTACTTTTTGTCTATCAATGCTGAGGACAAGGTTGTTAAGGAGCTGTTGAAGCATCGCAGCAGATTCTTCTTGTAGTGCGAATTCCAGCCATAGGATCATGGCTGGTGGCTGGTCACGTGCTTACACCTGTTCTTTAAGGTTTAGATCTAGGGACCTTGCAGGTCAATCCATGCACTGAATATCTTCATTCTCCAAGAGCTGTACGGCAGCTACTGTACAATAACTTATAGCATTATCATTCATAAAGAGGAAGTCTGGACCCGCAGCATCCCTAAACAGATGTATGTAAAACAAGAGAACTTCAATACTAAGCAGACATCAGTGACCGATTCTTCTTGGGAGATGTGGAGGTCATTGCAGCTACCAGGCATACCACCTCAAATGAGAAATTCAGCACCTACAAAACAATCCCTTTTAATGATGAAGGAGTGACTGCATATTCTGTTCTCTCTCCAGGCGTGCATACATCCAGAATTGATCGTCAAGACTAAATTTGTTCTCATCTATAAAGAGCACTTGACCCTTCTCCCATCATATTCAGTTCTTACGTGCCTAGCCCCATAAAAACAGGTGTATCTGATGAGCAAACATGTGTGATACCAGACTGGTCATCACACATAAAAACCATATTTGTGGAGCCTCCCGGCCATGGTAAAATATATTGATTGGACATTTGGTAGTTTGATGCATGTACCTTGTGATATCTCTCTTGTCTCTTCTCACCAGTAAGACAGTATTCTAGTTAACCACTGCCATTTTTGTTTGTGGACGACCACTGCTGAACACTGGAAGAATTGTTCTTGCTGTTTGAAATGCTGTCCAGGCTCATGAAACAATGTTGTTGAGCGATCCCAAAGCTTCTCAATAATGCAACCTTGAGTAAAGTCATCCAGATTATGTCGCTTGAATTGCCTGTTGGCCATATCACATGGTAGTTGGAAAACAAAGTAGAAATTGCTGTACAGCGAGCAGGTTGGTACTGCTGAGTGTATAGCCCTTCGACACTTCTCCCACTAAGTCATATGACATAATATGCACATGTCCAACTTTACCAATTTCAAGTCCATCTCCTGACTAGTATTTCATTATGTTGCCTTGTTCCACTTTAAGCCAATATCTCTGCAGTATCCTTAATTTTTGCACAGTAATGTACATTGCATATGGGTGATACTGCAGCTGAACTGATTTTACAACTTAAAGATCTGTGTATTAAATATGCCTACATATTTCTTAATCTAATAAATATCAATATATCCTCTTGTAAGTCCAAACATCAAGTATCGAGAAAAATATAATGTTTGATTTTAGTCCACTGATTTAGTACAGTCAAAAGTCGTTAATTCGGACACCCATAATCCGGAATGATCTATAATCCGGACCTCAAAGCTAAAAACTTTCTGCATGTCTCGCGTTGACGCATGCACATAGGCGTTTACGTGTGTGCGTAAGACCTTTACGGCTACGAATATGAGTGCGCGTTTAATGTATAACAGACGGTATAAGCTAAGCTAAAATTATCTAATTCAGTTAATGTTGCAGATTGCATTGTTCCTTAATCTTCAAATTGGATCCAGCTTATTATTTTTTGCAGACTGTTAGAGCAATTTTAAAAGTAAGCTGAACTTTCGATTATATCAAATAGAATTTCCGATACTATTTGCAAATATGTAAGGATCTAAAGCGAAAGTAGTTCCGAATCTGTTTATCAATTTCAGTTGCTCGCGGGGGGGAACGCCGCAGTGCGCAATGAATTGGAAGTTGATCTGTCAGCACGATCCCTTATCTCAGGGCAGATGTTTTATTTTTTTGGCTTTATAATTCCTTACTAAATGTAGTATTTCATCAATCAATTAACGGACGGCGAAATCTGTGGTATGGTTCTAGATGCAGAAAATATCACTTCCGATAGTGAAGAAAGTGGCAGAGAGGTTATTAAAAACGAAAAAATTTTGATTGACAAGTTAGTTGGTATTCTCGACACAGCAGTTACAGGACTTAAACAGTGGAACTTTGTAACTAAACAAGAAATTATGTCTGTTAATAGAATTAAAGGGAAAGTATTAGTACAAAAAACAAAGCAATGTAAACAGCTTACATTGAAAGAAACGTTTTATAAAGTAAGCAAATAAATATTAAGCTTTTTCTTTTCGTAATTTTAGGAGACTGTGGATTTGTTGCCAATCTAGAGAAACTTAGCTTCGCAACAACAAAATATGTATTCATTATTATTGCCAATTAAATCATGCTTAATTCTTTCTTTCTGAATTTTTTCGAGGAAATAAGCGTTTGAGATTTACTTCATATTTTTAATATAGATATTTTGAGATTTTTTATTTTCCTTCTCACGAGTGAAACCGAGTTAATTAAATTAGAAATACTCAATCGTCTGTGAAAACTGTTTCTGTTTTGTTTGTTGCTTAATTTCTTTTATACATAGTCTAGCTTTATTTATAGTATTTAAACAGAACATGTGGCACGATAGATAATTCTTTAATGATATACATTTTGTGCATTCTGAGTTATATATGAATGAAATATAATACTGTTAAGTAAACCTAGCGCAAGAGTGTCGCTATGGTAACAAGTGAATTTTAAAGAATGCCTTTATTCAATTGTGGTTTATCGCTGTCGGCGAAGTAGGTTTAATTCAATCTAATAGGTTTAAATAAAATGCAAAGAAAAAATGCGTATAATTTAATATTCCGTACAAGGAAGTCATGTGGTGTACACATCAGATTTTTTTAAAACCTTATGTGGCCAGAAAAAAATTGCAAAAACTCATAAAACGCAAGCAGAATTTTTCTTTACCTTTTTTTGTTTTGTAAAACACGTTCAAAACAATTTTAATACATTAATTATTTATAATATTGTTGTGTGCGTACGGATGTGTAATAGATTGATAATAGTTCGTAAATGATTGCCATTGCACTCAAATCCGATGATAGCTTAATAAATTTATTTTAATCAACAGAACACTTCAAAGTTCTGGAATTTTCCACAGAAATACTCGTACAAGTGTTTAGAATATCACTAAGTATAATCAGTAGTTATGCTTCAATTAATAAGAACGTTAAACACAACGGAATGCAAAGCGCATCTTAAGAGAAAGTTAACTCAGAAATATCTCCAATCTCACGCTGACTAACAACTGGCAACAATAACAAACTTATATAGCATAAATAATGTCATAAAAATAGTGTGGTATAATGAGATTATTACTTTGAAACCGATGTTTCGAATTTATGCCCAAGAACCATATTTCTCTTCTGCTTCATTGCACTCTTTCAAAAAAAGTAAAAAAATCATCGAATAATTTCCTTTATCATTTTTTTAATGCGAAAAGTTTGTTTATAAGCTGTGAAAATTCGGAAGTTTTTAATATATTTTTAGATATGAAATTTTAAAATTATGGCATCAAAAAGTCTAAAAATATGAACGATTTTTCAAAAATTCTCCAAAATATTTTTTAAAAAATTACGCTAAAAATTTCATTTAATTTTTTTTCCCTTCACAGTGTGTTATGGTGCAAACTATAATATTCTGAGATTCTCAGTTTATTTGTTAATATTCGTAAAAAATCGTTTCAACTTTAAATTTGAAAAAAATCTAATCCTCTAAAAATCAAAAGCGTGACACCACATCCACAAGCAGTGTATGTATAAAGTTTGAGTTCTATATCTTATCGGGAAGCAGTTTAAAAATCCATGACCATCTTTTAACCATAGCAACAAGCACCAAGAATGAACTAAATAACAGCTTATAAAATAATAATAATTAAAAAGCATATATTTTTCAGGAACCATTACGAAAGTTCAGGTACCAGTTGCGAAAGTACAGATTACAAAATTAACAACAGTAAACAATGTTAAAAATGTATAAACAGTATTAGAAATCTGCCAATTCGGACACGTGATTGTTCACAGAGGCTTAGGTGTAAAGGGAAGGAAGATGGTGGTCTTCTGAACGAGTCCTAAAGACGAAACTCTTTCATGTCTCCTTTTTCTCCTCTTGCTAACGGCAGCTGTGCGAAGGAGCGTTGCATGTGAACGGGGCTTTAGATACTGAGGAGCAAAGTTTCAAAACCACTGATCTATTACATTCACAGAGGAAAATACATGCATAAAATCTTTGAAGATATTCTTATAGTCTATAAAACATTTACTGGATTTATTTACACTTAGTTTCACTAATCTTATTTATGCAGGATGTTTCAACATTAAGAAAACATATCAAAATACATACTTTTTATTATAGAAGGTATGGCTGCACATTAAAAGGTTAGGTGATGGAAGATGCATTCTATTTTCCCATACAAGCTGTCTTTTGCAATACAAAAACATGAATCATTTCAAGTTGAAAGGCGATGAAAGTTGTTTCCTATTTTCCTACGTGAGCTGTCTTTTGCGCATACAGGCACTTTCAAAATATGTATATGAAAACAGTATTTTCTATATGTACCATCATTCTCTCTGTATTTTGCTTGCATGTGTAATAGATTGATTTATAGCATGTTTGCATCTTAATTGGTAACTTTTATATTCAACATTTTTAATTCATAATGGCCCTGGAGTTTTCTCAAAACTATTCAAATAACTTTCAACTGAGAGACAATGATCTCATCTTCTCAGTTTCAAACTTAATTACATCCCACGACTTCAGTGGCCTTATTTTTATCGAGCTAAGTATGTTATTCTTCACATGATATTCACAGCCAAGGAGGTTCATTTATTATGTTTCAGGATTCAAGCGATCTCATATTCGTTTAAACAACAAAAGCAGCGTATTATAACTTCAAGTAAAAGATTATTACAAATATCATTTGACCTCAGATCCATGCTATCTAAACTGAAAGGACAGGTTAGTACTTGACTTTTATATACATATATATAAGCCAAGTACCAATCTTGTATATATGTAATAAAACAAATTTTAGAAGCACCGATGTAGGAACACCAAGAGGTAGAATTACTGATATCATATCACAGAGAGGACAAATTGCAGATCCATACTGAAAGGAAGAATTTTGATTGTGTAGAATGCTAATTCATAATGAATACGAAACTAGGCAGTCAGGGTACATTAAATTCCATCTTTATTTAAATTCAGATTCATGGCCAAAGTTTACTTGGCGGCATTCTAATCGTGCCTATTTAAGAACATTTACATTTTTGAATACTGCTGCAATAAGAAGAGAGCACAGCAAAACAGCATCCAAGCAGCACAGAGGTTCAAGCTAAAAGTATGCCGCCAAGATGAAGGTTTTCTTTTATGTCAAAAAGGTTTTAGTTCTTAAAATTTTGAGTTTAGGTTCCGAATCACCCACATCATCAGCATTGTGCAAGCCATGCAAGATGGATTAATCTAGAAATGACACAATACAGAGAAGTTACTATGATTTTTAGAACAGAGAGGGGACCTTTAGTTTAAATTATAATTTTGATTTATATATTTTTTGTATCTTGCATACATATGTAAGATGTCATGTCTGAAGTCTAAAGAACAAAGCTTTGGAGCTACTTATAAATTAAGTTGATATTATGATAGTTGAAACAGTAATGTTATTTAATATATGAAATCTTATATATGGTGTTTAAAAAAAATTGCACAAAATGCATTAAATAGATGACTTTTGAAAAAGCTTGCAGACTCGTAACTCCAATTTAAGAATGAATCAAAATACGCTTTCAGACTTAACAATTTAGTTTCATTAAACAGGTATGCTATTTTGGTATTTTCTTTCAATCTTGACTTTTAAAAAATCTTTTATGAAACAGAAAAGCTTACCTGATAATTAATTACATTTTACTCTGATCATAATATGAACGAAGGTATTCCTTATGTACTGTGAGCAATACTTTTTGTTAGGCCTTATTTTCATACAAAATGTTTAGGATGCCCTCCACACTTGTCAATTCACTTTCCAAGAGCTGTAAAATAAAATTTTGCCTAAACTGCCTGCCCAGAATTTACAGACCAGAAATGATTTTATGTATTGCTCATGTAACAGAAAAAGGCACCATACCTCAAATTAAGGTTTCTTTGTGTATTTAGTTTTATAGCCATACCAAACTTTTTTTCCAAATGTATAAGTCTGAAGTAAGCACTTAAAGGGTTAAAAATAAATATATTTCCTTTAATTTTATCATTATACATATGAATAAATAACTCAACTGACTGACTTCTTGTGAAATCTGCAATATAAAAATTCATGAATTTTAAATTACAACGAGTTTACTCCAATATATTTAGCTCATGAAAGGCAGAGCATGCTGGGATTTAAAATCATATTCTAAATATATTAGAAAAAGATGTGCTTCTTTGCTACATTTACGTCTTTAAATTAAGATAATATGTCAAAATACACAAATAAAATCAAACATAATTTTGTAAAATTTATAATAAAAACCACTATTTACATTTAGTAAAATTTGAATAATTTTAAAGCTTCCGAAATGATTTAACAAATAATGTTTTATTTACATGTTCAGGACTCTGATGTACCCTGCAACAGTTCACAAACCAGTTTTTATCCACGTATGAATCATCAGACTGAATACAGCTTGCAGGACATGACAGCAACCACATTGCAACTTTGCTAAGATTTGGGTAACGATCACAGTTTTGAGCCCAATATTTTAATGGGTTAAATTTACTTTGATTGTGATCCAACTCTTGATTGACCAATTGGAAAGATTCTGCAAGATATCGGTCAAATTCTTTATGAGCTGACTTTTCACTTTTAGAATCATCTTGATTTGGATCACATGAATTTGAAAAATTATTTTGTATCTGATTTTCAGGAAAGTCTTCAACAATAGGAGCTTCCATGCATTCTTTTACAAGACATTTAATTTTCACATTTGCAGCAATCTGATCTTCTCGAGGTAAAAAAATCAATTTTTTGAACCTCGGGTCTAACTGGGTTGCAATCCGATGAAACATACCTACATTTTTTGTTAAATGTTCATCTATTTCAATACTTAATTTTTTTTTTAAATGTTGGATAGCAGCTGAATCAGAGCTATGAGGCAAACAATGTTTTTTTAACTTGATTATCCATGGTATAACAATATTCAGTGTAGGTTCAGAAATGCTAGAAAGTTCAAGAAGAGCAGACTCAAATAAACGAAAGAAATTAATTATTTCTGTAATGGCATATTTATCAAAAGATAATAAGTGTATCTCACCACTCTGATTAAGAATGCTCAAAATTTCCTCATAATGATCATGCACTGATTTTAATAATTGCAATATTGAAGACCAATTCTCATCAGGAGGAATTTTTAAAGGTTCAAACAACTTGGATTCTATTGAAAGTTGTCCAAAGTTTGTAACTAAATTAATGCATTTATTTACTAAACTTACAAAATCCTGGTATGTAGGCTGTACATTTGACATTCCTCCTTTAACAACTTTTTGCAATGCAGAATTCAAATTCTGAACACAGCATTTAATACACTGTTCATCACTGAAAGCCAATACCATGTTTGAATGATTATCAGTTACTATCAATCGTTTAAATGGGACAACTGGTTGACTAAGAATAAATGAAATAAACCAGTTTTTAGCATCATTTGCTACTTTAGATTCATATGGAAACTCATCAGTGTGTAGAACAATTGACCTCAATTCACCAGAAATTGTTGAATAGTAACAAATTAAGCTTATAAATGAATGCTTTTTATTTTCCTCTACCCACACATTTATGTTATAGGATGCTCCATATATATATTGAAATTCTGTATAAAAGTGGTTTATACTAGTTATATACATATCATTCAATAAAAAGTCACTCAGTTTTTCTTGAGGGCAGAGCATACTTTCAATATTTACATCACCATAAGTTGCACCTATTGTAATGCACATTTGGAGTAAATTTTGAAATTCTGTATTCTCAACAATATCAAAATTGCTAAGGCTACTTAAAATAAAATTCATAATGTGGTCTTGTGTCGAATGTTTTTCAAAATCAGATATTGCAATGTCTTTCAAAGTGTTGTTAGTTTTACTAGGGAAGAATATTATTGTTGGTGAGCCTCTTTTTCTTCTGGATTTAGGTCTTGAACATACCTTCATGTGTGCTCGAAGTGTGGAAGTACCAGATTTTTGACTATTGTGAATAAATAATGCTGTACATTTAAAGCAAGCTACAAACATTTTTGAAAGCATCATCTGTTCACCACCACAGTACCTAATGTAATAAGGTATCTTTAGTTTTTTTGCTTCACTCCGACTTATTAATAATTTAATATCACCAAACCAACTCCATACATCACTCTTAAATCTTTTATTACCTTTCAAGTTCATAAATGATCTTTCAGTCACAACAGCTTTCTGCTTATCAAAAAGTTCTTCAATTACTTCCTTTTGCTGTTTAGGATTAGTTCGAAATCGTTTCGTAGGAATCTTTCCATCTGCTTGTACACTTTTTGGATTGTTCAAAGTAAATTCTTCAAGCACAGCTTCTGAAGAGTCCACAACTTCATTGCTGGAAATTAGAGGGAAAAAAGCTTACAAATTTATTCATTAATTTAAGAATAAATATAAGTAAATGTCTTAAAATATCTTATTATTAACTTACAAAAAGGAAAATTAATTCAAAACAGGGTTTCTTAAACTTTTTGGTGTGGGGGCCACCTAATATTTACGAAAATTTTGTGGGGCTCCCATGAGCTTTGCACAAACCCAACACACACCTGAGTGAAACTATCAGTTTCTTCACCTATACTGTAATATACTATTGCTATTTTAGGTCACTGACTTTCAATTTTAAAGTAAAATGAATGTTTCTATTATAAAAAAGATGTGTCGAATGGTTTTTGTTTTTCCTTTGTCTGCATTGCGTTATCTTTATCTATTTTCTTATGTAAAAATATTTGGTAATTGTAAAATTATAATAATTTAAAGAAAATAAAAATTGCTAAAATTTTTGGCGACCCATTACTGCAAGTCCCGTGACCCCAACCATAGTTTAAGAAACTCCAATTTAAAATAATGATGTCAAAAATTTTATTAATAAAACAATGTTCAAACAAAATTCTTTGTTTCTTCTAAAATGTTTATTATTATTTATGAACAGAATAATGCCTCTGACACACAAAAGTAACCACAGAAATATTTTATGCCAATTTACAAACTCTGTAAAGAGTTGTTGCGTTTTAGTAGAGATGTGGATAATGTGTAAGTATCCTAAATTCTCTCATATGGTCCTTCATAAAAACAGTTCTTGGGTTTTGACTTAAGATTTTAAAGGAATTTTAACCAAAGTACTTTAAGCATCTGACTATCTCGCATTCAACTACAGAATATTTTAGAAATTTCAGAAAAAAATTTCTACCCTGAAAAATTTAATATGTTAATAAATGACAGATTTGTAATGCCATTATACAGCTCATAATATTATTAATATATTACAGTACAAAGTTCGAGATCCGGACGTCCAATATCCAGAATGATCTAAAATCTAGACCTCAAAACCGTCAACAACATTTTTTTAAATGCTTTACCATCGCATTTCATACCCCCTTAGTAGATGAAACACGTAAAGAGTCCAGATTCTTAATTTCCCTTCGGCACTAAATAAAATACCTCGTTATTGAGGAAACGATAATTTAGCATAATTTGGCTCCATAGCTGCGTATCTGCTTGGCATAGATCTCAAACCGAAACATTCTAGATAAAAACATTGTTGATTTTACACCTACAGTACAAAGTCTTTAATCTGGACCTGAAAGCTACAAACTTTCTGCGCATGCATAGCATTTACGCATGTGCATAATATGTTTGCGCATGCGCATTTAATGTATAACGGACGGTATCAGCTAGGCTAAAATTATCTAATTATCTATTTCAGTTAATGTTGCAGATTGCATTGTTCCTTAATCTTTTAATTGGATCCAGCTTATTATTTTTTGCAGACTGTTAGAGCAATTTTATAAAAAGTAAGCTTGAACTTTCGATTATGTCAAAAAGAGTTTCCAATTCTGGAGCTGCCAAAGGATCTACAAAGCGAAAGCACGTTTCAATGTCCATCAAACAAAAAGTGGAGTTGCTGCAAAAAATGGATAAAGGAATGAAGAAAGTGACAGAGAGGTTAGTGAAAATGAAAAAATTTTGATTGACAAGTTAGTCGGTATTCTCGGCACATCAATTACAGGACTTGAACAGCGGAACTTTGTAACTGAACAAGAAATTGTGTCTGTTTATAGAATTAAAGAGAAAGTATTATCACATAAAACGAAGCAACTTAAACAACTTACATTGAAAGAAATGTTTAATAATGTAAACAAATAAATATTAAGCTTTTTTTTTTTTTTTTGTTTTGTAAATTTTGATACCCTTTAGATCATAATTGTTCTTTATTTCATAAATTACGGTTTCATATTTTTAATTTTAGAATTTCTGCATGCCATCTTACCAGATTTAAACTGATGATCTATAATCCGGAAAAATCGATAATCTGGAATTGCCGAAGTCCCGACGAGTCCGGATTAACGACTTTTGACTGTAGTTAGAAATGAGAGTTCAGCCAAAGTGTATCATGAAGAACAAGATCTCCACACTAAAAGTTTTGCCATCAACCAGAAGAAGCCTGCATTTGGAAAACCCATGAAGAAGCATGCAGCTAAAAGGCCAAATGAAGAAGAAACTGACAGAGGAAGAAATACTAAATGCTTCAGCTGTGGTCAGTGGGGGCACATCTCTAAAAATTGTGAAGAGGCCAAATATCAGAACCAAAACAGTGCTAAAACTGCAGTTGACCTCAAGACAAACATTGCACTTCTAGCAAACAAAGAAAAATCGAGAAAAAGTAATATGTGGATTTTAGACAGTGGAGCTACAGAACACGACTTCTGATAAAAGAAATTTCTCAAACCTTAAGAAGTATACATCTGAAGTTGAAGTTGCTAATTCAGAAAGAATAAAGGTCACTGGAATTGGAAATATTTTATTTTCTGTTGGAGAAGAAGATTGAGAAAAAAACATCACTATTGATAATGTCCTATATGTTCCAGAACTAGGAGGAAATCTATTATCCATTTTTACAACTGAAGAAAGAGGCTTAAAAGTAGAATTTGTTGAAGAAAAAGCCAAAGTGATTGTAAGTAAGAATGGAGACACTCTTCTATCTGGTGAAAAAAAAAAAGGAAGACTGTTCATATTCGAAGAAAAGATGACAACTGCCTATGTTACAAAAACAAATTGCTGACTTGCTGCATCATAGACTTTGTCATCCACATTCTCGTAAAACCAAAAATATTATCCCCATCGGCAGAAACCTGAAATCAACAGTATTAGTAAATGCTCCTTGCCTAGTCTGTATCCAGGGGAAATGAAATTTGGAAAGGCTGCTAGTACAAAAGCTAAAGACATCCTAGAAGTTATACATTCAGATGTGCTGGTAAAATTTCTTCCCTTTCCTTTGGAGGCTCAAATTACTTTTTGACTTTCACGGATGAATTTTCTTACTATACCATGGCATTCTCTATGAAAGCCAAAAGTGAAGTACTAGAAAAATTTGAGGAGTACCGTTACATGGTAGAAAATCTCCAAAACAGAAAAATCAAATTCATGAGAAATGACAATGGTGGGAAATATATAAGTGAAAAGTTTGATAAGTACCTTGCTGCGCATGGGATCCAAAGACAACTAACTGTACCTGATACACCCCAACAAAATGGTTTGGCAGAAAGACTGAACCAAACATTGATAAACATGACAAGATGCTTAATTATCAAGTCCGGAGCAAATCACAAGTTTTGGGCTGAAGCAATGGCCACTGTGGCCATCTCCACAACAAGCGCCCATATGGCAATTGATGACGATATTCCAGAGGAAAGATGGTCAGGGTCTGGAAGCAAAACAGCCCACCTCAGAGTTTTCGGATACAGAGCCTGGAGCCATGTTTGCTCACACTCAAGAGGAAGCAAGCTTGATCCTAAAGCTACAGAACGTGTTTTTGTGGGATATCCTAAAGGAGTTAAGGGCTACAAATTGTATGATCTAAAGAAGAAACATTTTTTTTTTTTTTTTTTTTTTGTCAGCAGAAATGTCATTTTTGAAGAAAATGTTTTCCCCTTAAAACTAAGCAAGTGTGATAATCCTGCAGAAGAAGCTACTTTTAAAATTGAAGACTTTGAATCAGAATATCCCCTGAACCTACCTGAAACAGAAGCTTGTGACTCATTTCTAGATCACATAACTCCAGATGTAAATTACTCAGATGAAACCCAACTTCTAAATACAGACCCGATTAATCAAAATTCTGAAAGATGTCCAGACCTACAACTTGAAAATACCCCAGATTATGAAGATGAAGGCCAATCAGTTACACAAATACAAGACATTAATAACAACCTAGACCCTGAAGCCAAAGCAGCAGCCAGAAATCCTACCCATGGGAGTGAAAGAGGTGAAAAAAGAAACACCAGAATTCCTAAACATTTAGAAGATTTTTATCTGTACCCCCAAGACATACAACAATCTGAAGAAAAGGACCCAGTAATTCTAAAAGATGTCCTGAAATCACCCGAAGCTGACTTGTGGTTAAAAGCCATGGAGGAAGAAATTCAGAACCTCACTCAAGCTCAAACCTGGGAACTAACTACGAAACTACTAGGAGCTAAGGTACTACCATCCAGATGGTTGTTTTGTAAGAAAAAAGACAAGATTGAGAACCGAGCAAAGTTCAAAGCCAGATTGTTGGTAAAAGGGTATCTATAAATACACAGAGTGGACTTTCAAGACACCTTTTCACCACTCATCAAACTTAAATCTATAAGGTTATTGCTTGCTGTAGCTGTAGAGTGTGTGTGTGTGATTATGGCAAAGCCTCGAGGGCTATCTGCCTAAGGGGAGGGATGCCTTCGTGGAGGACTTTCTAAGGGAAACTGGCTCATATACATGTTACACATGGGGAAAACCACGAAAATGCCCATGCAGCCAGCCTGTTTATGGGATTCGAACCTCGGACCGAACTACCAGTGTTCAGCGACTTTACCGCTCGGCCGCTGGTGGGCACCGCAGCTGTAGAGAAAAACCTAGAGGTTCACCAAATGGATGTGAGAGCTGCATACCTTAATGGAGTTCTAAAAGGAGACATATATATGGTACAGCTAGAGAGCTGCATTCAGAAAGGAAAAGAACACCTTGTCTGTCACCTGAAGAAAAGCATTTATGGCCTCAGACAATCAGGATGTGCATGGGATACCTGCTTGAATGACTTCCTGATCCAGTATGGATTGAAAAGATCAAGTGCAGACCCTTGTATTTATTTTTCTCATGAGAAGAACATCATAATTGGAGTTTATGTTGATGACCTCCTGATAGTTGGAAACATGCCAGAGATAATTGAATTCAAGGAAAGCATCAAGAAAAGGTTCAATGTCAAGGACTTAGGTCCTCCAAGCCAGACCTTATCCATGCAAAGAAGAAAATGGATCATACACACTAGATCAAATCGTTTATGTATCAGATATCCTAGAAATG